TTTTTTATTGCTTAGCCCACCCCACTCTGCATTCCTGGATCCGCCCCTGTCTTTGATTATTTTCTCAGTCTTTATGTTCATCTATGTTACGTTACCAATGCACTGGATATATACCATCTATTTTTTGGCATGAATGTATGGAGATTTTTTATGAAGCTTTTTGATGATGTATGATTAAGTTGTAATTAGAATAATCTGATCAAAAAGTAAGAGGGATATGTCTATTTTTCATTCAAGGCCGCTTTAATGCTTGCAGGTTTTGAAATCTGCCTGCACCCAACATAACTACCAAGACCCAACTTAAGGTTATGCTAACTCTAAGATCCATCATCATATATTCAGAGAAACAGCAAATACAGAGTCAGTTACGTTGATGATAATGGCTAAAAATATGTATGAGCATGCAATTATTATAGCTATGAAGATGCAGAACCTAGATGCCTTTGAGATATTTCTTTCAATTTAAGTCTTGATTATACATGAAGATCATGATCACAAGACCGAGAGGATCAACAAGGACAAAGAAGATAGAAGAGTCAAATATGAAGAACTGCATGTTAAGATACATAAAAAGAAGAAACAAAGATCAGAACATAGCCGAATAATTGATCAAATTGTATATAGTGTGATACTTTTCTATCTTATTTTGTTTCTCTTTGTTTCATTGTACATGTTTCTTATTGTTGAATCATGTTTCTTATTGTTGCATCATATTATTTATTGTTTCATCGTGTTGGTTATTGTTGTTCGCTTTTTTATTTAAATTGTTGTTGTTCCTTTTAGTTTATTTTTATCTTTCCTACTTCTTTGGAATAAAAATCAACACAAAGATATATTTAAAAGTTCTTAAAATAATATATTTGGATTTATGAATTTCAATAGTTACAAAAAATAATGAGAAACAATAAAAAACAAAAATTTCAAACTGATCAACAAAAAGAAACACAAAGAAAGCATATGAAACAAAAAGCAACAATGAAATGATAACTAAAATCTCTATCTATTTATGAAGTGTTCGGTTACAAAACTCATACAGAGTATATTTTTATTTTTTCCATTTTTTATTTTTTACATTTTTCATTTTCGAGTTTTTAAATTTTACATGCTTTTTAGTTTAAGTTAATTTTATGATTTTTTATAAATATTAAAAAACATCCTTTTGACTTTATTCTATTTTATTTTTTGAAAAATATTTTACTTTAAATAAATTACGGTAAAAAAATGTACTCGTACATTAAACTCTCTGATATCTTTTCAAATTTTACAATAATTTTAAACATTTCATTTTAATTTACATATTTTTTTAAGAAATTTTTATGTTTGAGATTGTTTTTAACAATTTTTATTTTTTTATTAAAATTTGTTTTTTATATATTTTTGTCATTCTATACTTTGATATAAGAAGTATATTTAAAAAACGATATGATAAAAAACATATTTTGTGTCTTATAAATTATCTCGAGTTCCTGATTTTTTTTCTTATAATTTCTATTTCCGAGTTTCGTATTTGTAAGTTTTCTATCGCTTTTAAACTTTTCTAAAATTTTCAGATTTAAGTTGCTATTTTAAATTTTTCAAATTTAAGTCGCGAGTTTCAATTTAGATATTTTAAGCATTTGTTGAAATTTCTATTTTGGTTGTCATTATTTTCTTTTCTTTTGAAAAATTAATTTTACTTTTTAGAAATGTATTGTTTCTCTAATTGCTTTAATCTTTATTACCTTTTATTAGATATATTTATTGATTTATTGATTTATTGATGATGAATGACTTGCTTTCATTTGTGAGACGTATATCATATCATTCAAGGGAGTAGCCAAACAAATACTCTGTAGTTATTTGATAAGTAGTACGTGAAGACCAACATACGTTGACTAGAGTCATGTGTGTGTATATATAGAGTGCTCTTCTCATCAGGCCGGCCTGACGGGCTGCTCCGTCCGGTCGAGCCCGTTTGGGCACCTTCTCGGTGGAATTTTTTGATGAAATTTTTTGAGCATGTTCCTCATCAAGTCTAGTTTGTCCATACCAAATTTCAGCTCAAAATTCGATCGGTAAGGCATTCAAATCATTTTTTGAAGTTGACTGCGTCAAAATATACATATAAAACTGCAGTCAACTTCAAAAAATGATTTGAATGTCTTCCGGATCGAATTTTGAGCTGAAATTTGGTATGGACAAACTAGACTTGATGAGGAACATGCTCAAAAATTTTCATCAAACAATTCCACCGGGAAGGTGCCCAAACAGGCTCGGCCAGACAGAACAGCCCGTCAGGCCGGCCTGACATGAAGTTTCCTCTCTCTCTCTCTCTCTCTCTCTCTCTATATATATATATATATATATATATATATATATATATATATACTATGAGCCCGTTTGGTAACGCTGGAATCGGCTGAACCGGCTGATTCTACCTGCTGAAATTTATGAAATTTTGGCTGAAGTGACTGTATTGTTAATTCTGTTGATTTATGAAAAAAAATATTTAATATATAGTCTATTAACAAATTAAAGAAAAAAATAAATGAAAAAATAGTTAAACGGTCGAACTCAAACGCTGCTCATTTGAGTTCGGCCGTTTTGCTAATAGTCTCAACGAACGAACTCTTTATGAAAAATTGGTCTCAACGAACGAACTCTATATGAAAAATTGATTGTCGACAAAAATGAAAAATTGGTCATCTACAGTAACTTCATCCAATACATCCAGAAAAGTAACTTCAACCTTACTTTTTCTTATTATTAGACAATTCAGCGCGCGAAATCAGAAGTTAGGTGTTTGGTAAAAAAGTTGACTGATAAGCCTGATGAGCCGGAAAACAGAGTCACCAAACGGGCTCTATATACGTTCTAAAATAATTACGTGTTAAATTTTACACTATTCACATGATTTACTTTGATTATATTTTATTTAGTAATATATTACAAATTATTTTTTGAAAGATATTACTAAATTAATTTGCTTCAATTTAATTTTAAAATTGTTCTTTTCTTTTACTTTCTTTACTAATTACTAATAATGAACTATATATTTTAATGATCAAACTTGTACATTAACAAATATGAAAATGAGAGTATTGTAACTTGTAACTAAAAATAATTAATTAACGGATGAAGTTTTCTTAGCTTCGTTGGACCAATGACAGAAAATATAAGTGTTTTCTGTTTCTCATTCCTTGACATGTTGACGGGGAAGATAAAAATATTTTATTATGGGCTTGTTTGGTACTTGGTGGTTAGCGGTTAGCTGTTGGTGGGTTGTATTAGCGATTTTGACTTGCGGTTTGGTTTGGTGTTTTGACCGACTGATTAAGTTAGCTAGTGGGTAGTAAATAAGATGTTTGGCTAATTAGGTGTTTGGACATAGCTTTTCCTAGATAAAATTACATATTAGGATGTGTTATATACAGTTGCATCAGAATTTAGATACCCTCTCAAACACAGTCAACAAAAAATATATCCAAACAATAAGGTAAAACCATAAAAGACCAACACAAGAAAATGAAACCGACCAAAATAATATGACACCTGACTATATCAAATCCACCCTCTAGTGCCGCAACATTTACATTCGATTACCTCTCTACAATGAAGCTTCTGCATTTCTTATCGAGTTGAGAACGAGTAGAAACTAGAAAGCCTTTGAATCTTCTTCTTTAGTCATGTGGGTGTGAGAACATGTAGATAACAATTTTCATACATATGTGCTAATAATACATCTCCACTAATTTTCACCAGATATTTCTCTAAGCGCATCTACAAGATTGAAGTCTCTATCGACCTAAGGGCTAGTAAGACTTTTATGCAGATTAAGCAAAGCGGTTGAACTCAAACGTTGCTCCAACCTGCGGGTTTGAGATTTGGCGTTGTGGAACAAGAATGCTATTCTATTCCGCTATTTACCAAACGACTCATTCAATGGTTTGACCAAAATCAAAACGCCAATATCCATTGAAACGCCAAAAAATGGTTGATCCGCCATTTCCCAAACACGGCCTTGGCTTATATATAGCCTCTTTAAAGAGGTAAAACAGTATGTCAATTACTCAATATGCATGGATGTATATATTCCCTCTTGATGAACAAAATAAATAGTATAATCACACTTTGCATTGTTTTAAAATACGGGATTGAACAAATAAATAATTATGACTACTAATGTATGACTAATGTATGACTATTTCAATTATGACTCTACTAATGTATGATTTGGAAAGTTCATTTTTCTGGCTCAACATAGTTATTTGGGTTTTTACAAGAATATTACTAAAATAAAACTTATTGACATAAATATGACTATTCATTACTCTAACGTAGTGTTATGGTAACTTAAGTTCGAAACTTGAACATAAATTACAATGATTTCATTACCACTCTAGTAACTAGTCATATTTTTGTAAATCATCTTTATTTTGGTCATATTTATGTAATTATTTCTAGTTATATTTTATTTACTTATCTATACTATCATTTTAATTTTAGCCCTTTTTATGACTCATTTTGGCTCTGATATCATATATCTATTCATATTAGCTGATCCAAATTTTTTTTAAATAAAGCTTGGAAGTTGTAATTTTGAAAATATAATTTTTTTATTATATTCTTATTTGGACTTTGCACATTTAGAATGTGCAATGTAATTTTGAATATATAATTTTTAATAGTTAAAACTAATTTAATCATTTGCAAGAAACATTTAATTTTATCATTAACAAACATGAATAGTGAACAAATAGGAATTACGAACAATAGTAAGGCTTTGTTTGCAAACAATTAATTTAAGTGCTTTTGGCTTTTTTTAAGAAAAAAGCACTTATTTTACCAAACAATACCAATTTTTACTTTCTCGGTTTTCGTGTAGAATCTACTCTTTACTTTTTCTATTACACAAAAAACACTTATTTTACCAAACACTACCAACTTTTACTACTAATCACTTTTTCCCAAAAAGTGCTTTTATTTAAGCACAATCACTTGCAAAGAGAACCTAAATAGAGCTATGGGTTAAAATATGGCAGTACACCATTAAAAAGACAATGAAATGTGACAAGTATAGTTAAATTAAAGATTAATTACACATGAAATATTGTTAAAAAGTGGTATACAATGATCAAGTACTACAATCTCATCTTCTCTTTTTACTTGAATCATTGTTTACTTCAATTTATACGCAGTATATGTTTTGCCTTCAACCTGCAAATTATAAAGAAATTTGTCGGTTCAATCTTGTTCGGGTTTTTTTCAATGCGGTTCAATTATTTTCGATTCGGCTTTCGGTTTTTGGGTTTAAAATGTCAGCCCTATTAATTACCATGAGCTTGAAACTTTAAGCACATATCCAGAAAATGATACATTAACTCTATTTAATTAATTTGGATGACGGACAACACAGTCCTCAAGACCTCGGCACTAGCAACAAAAGCATGACCAGTGCCATCATCAAAGTGAAAAGTGCACAATCACTTTACTGTAATCAACATAGGCTTCTTGAGATGTTATACCTGAGTTAGCTCTGGAAAATTGATAACACCGCATGCTAAAATAGAAAGGGATGAATTAGTAAAATTTTACCACATACCAAACAATGCCTTTACCAGTCAGAACGAATCAAGGAAGAATCCTGTAATAGTTACTTCAAGCTCCTCATTGATTTGATCAAGCTCGACCAGTAAAACATTATCCTTAACATTGTTTAGGCCTATATTGCTATAAGGTAGCCGATTTAAGTTTATATGGATTTTCTCACATTCTCCTTGAGCAATCTGGCCCAAGGGGAAGTATTAGGCTAAGGCTGCAGGCCTGCAGCTAGGCTAACCTTCTGTGTTTCTGTTGTTATGTGCTTAGTTTCGCTTTGTAGAACAGCACCTTGCAGGCAGTGTATATTTTGAACCATTCAGGAAGCAGGTATGAAGATCATGGCTGTGAGGTTTCCTCCCGCAGCTATGAGCAAGTCCTCATCTGAATGCAAATGCTTAGAAATGTTAGGAAATTATATGAATCAATTTCTCAAAACTGTATAAATTTCATTGTTGTCCTGGACACATTAATCCACAAACAAATAAACAATAGCCTTAAAAGAATATACGAATTACACCTAAGAAATAAAATAATTCGAGTAATTAGTCGTTCAGTTAGTTGTTTTGGTGTTACTGGAAGCTAATTACGGGACTGAAAATGCTAAGAGCCTATTGGGTTCTTTCTGTTTACTTTTTCTTTGATATAGTCAAATCTATTATTGAAACATAAAAATGAGACATGTGAATTGTTCTTTATCCTGAGCTAGCAATTCTGTCCATACCAAATAAAGTTTGAGCCCGTTTTGGACAGTTATCACTTATCAGTCGTTAACTTCCATTCCATGTGACTCTTGATTACAGAGTATGTTAGTATACCTCAGTATTTTCCTCTCCATGAATACCATTTCAGTTTCAATTGGAATAGCAGAGGTGGGGCCCCTAAAATCCCCCGCCTTAGCCGTGGATCAAACACATCAAACTGCACACGTCTTAAAGATTCTAACATAAACTGGGCAGAAACTGCAGGTAGAAGCACTGGATGAGCTTCAACAGGCACACTTCCTCTCAAATCACGAGCTTTGTCCAGATGTGCATTGGCAACTGATGCCATGTCATACACCGCATCAGAAATGGCCACATCAGAGGGAACATATAAAGAAAGTCGGTTTCTTCTTGCATGATAAGGTAAAGATGTTAGCAGCAATAGAAGGCCATTTGCCTTTCCGATGTGTGATGCCGCGTGATCAGCTGCAGTTGATGTAATGCCACCCGCTTGAAGGGTGGAGTATAGAATGGTTGAGGCAGTGTCTTCCGCATATCTCTCCAACTCTTCAACGGTTGTTGTTGGTGAGGAGTCAGACAGCTCTCTTCTAGCATCTTTAATCCGAGCTTCAACAGACCGCTTCAGCCAGTTCTTGCTGATTTTAGATCTGTTCTCTTCACCTGTAAAGATGGGATCTGATTGGATTTTTTTAAAGATCAATATAAATCTTATGGTTTGGTCTGAGCTGACGATGGACCTGGTTTTGGAACAGGACGGGGACTGGCTGGTTCTTTTCCCAGTGGCCATACGATACCAAAAACTAGTCCAAACCAGCTTCGGGTTTGATTCCTCAGAAAAAGGAATGCGTTGTAAAAAATGGTCTACGAACCAGGTCAGGTATGTCCGGTTCTGGTCCCCCCTTTACGAGAGCCAGCACTGGACCCACCTCTAGTCTGACCTGGTCTGAATATTTTTAATCTGTGGTGGCAGTGGTCCGGTTTGAATGTTCATGACCTTGTCTAATCATTTGCTCTATTATACTCCCACCGTGTCATTTTGTAAGATACACTTTACTTTATGGAGTGTCCCAAAAATATGAACACTTTCAAAAATTGAACTCCAGTAACTTTTTACTTTCTCACTTTGTTTATCTATCATTTTACCCTTTACTTTTTGTGGAATCATTTTACTTTTTCTTACTTTTTGGAGGTTAGAATTGTAAAACAATCAGTTTAGCCTTTATTTTCTTAAAACTCGTGCCAGCCCCACACGTATCTTATATTATGGGACGGAGGGAGTACTTTTTATACTCCCTCCGTATTTATATGTTCTCTACAATAGCTTTTGGCACAATGTTTTAGGAGAAAATAGTAGAGGTAATGAATAGTGTAGAAAAAGTAGGAGAGAAGGTGGAAAAATAGGAAAGAGAAAGATAAAAAGTAGAAAAAGTAAGGGTAATTAAGTATTTTTAAAGGAAAAACTTACCAAAAAGGGAAAGTGTTGCAAACTTTTAAATACGTCCCAAATAGAAAAGTGTAGCAAACCTTTAAATACGGAGGGAGTATAACATTTGCTCTGCTCTTAATAGAAAGTTTTGGTCTAATCTTAACATTTGGTATGGTCTAATATGAATCTTTCTGGTTTGTAAAACAAATAATAACCAAAAAGAATAAGGTAAAGAGAACAACACCATTATTTTCAGAAATCAAAACAGAAGCAAGTGCTTGGGCCACTGGATGCTCGACTGGTTTGTTGGTGTAGAGGCTACCAAGAGCTTCTTGCCACCATAAAAGGCGCATGAGACCGATTTTAGGGTCAGAGGAAACATCTACAGCTCGGGATGTCTCTATGTTGAATGCACGTAGAGCAAATGCAGCTTTTCTCATGGTTGGAGGGAGTTCGAGAAGGCACAGGTAGTGATGGTAGTCATAGTTACGTACTTGCTGCACACAATAGGAGAGAGCAGCCCGCAGGCTGCCCGAAGAACTGGAGGTGGCACCCCTCATAAAATCGTCATAGCTCTGAGAAAGAAGTGATTTTCTGTGTAAAGGTAGTAAAATAACTTGAGATGGGAAAGAGACAGAGACAAAGAAGATGTGAAGAAAAGATTCAACCTATTAATTTTATATGCATCCTCTTGAGCTTGGCATGACAGGGGAGCAAGAAATTCATAGATCACATCAAGGGTTTTTCTTCTTTCGAGAATTGCATTAAAACAGAATCCTTATAGTAGTATATTATACTACGACTGAAGTACCAAAGTTGCTACATTTTTCTAGGAGGTGAAATTCCCGCCAATTTGAAAAGCATAATTGGCAAGCAGTGAATCTAGGCTGAGGAGTATTTACCATATACACAGTAGCAATGTGTATTTAGCACATACAACCTGAGGAGTATTGGATTCCAATAGTTTGCAGTCTTTTTCTCTCCCACAATCAGAGCTGTCCAACTTAAGTAATCCCCTAGTCACCCAGGCCTAATAAGAGCATATTGTCATTTCAACTATATCATATATACTTAAATGAAAAATATAGTCAATTCATAAAATCGCATAGTTTTAAAAAATATAGGCAATTTTGCACACAGTAGGTTGTGGACTAAAAATATAATTGATCCGATTATTTACAAAAAAGAACAATTTCGCACACTATTTAAAAAAACTCATAACAATCTCACATATAATAGTTATTTACGAAACAAAACAAAAACGTTGACATTGGGCAAAGGCTCTTGCGCCTTGCCCGACCAAACGCTAGTTTACCATATACAACCAGCCGACCAGGAGTATTGGTTTCCAATAATTTGCAGTCCTCTTTCCTAAAACCAGAGGTGTCCAACCTATGTAATCCATTTGTACAAAAAGTACGGACATCAAAGTTCTTGGTAAAAAAACGCTATGAAAACAACCCATTTGTCTCAGGAGATTGTAGGTTTCCGATCATTTGCAGTCCTCTTTCCTCTGAAAAAACACTATAACCAGTAGGCCTCTCATAATTCCTTTGTTTAAAAAAATGACTATAGAGTCTACTTGATTCATAAATTAGTTAGCAATGAATATTGTAATTATATTAATAGTTAAAATAAAAAACCAAGGTTGGTTAAAATGCAGAGTTAAGAAAAAAAATATCAAACAGATTAAGTAAATTTATTCACTCCTGCTATCTATTCACTCTTGCCATTGAGAGGGGATGAATGAATACCTGCAACAATAAGTTAATACCTGCAAGAAGTAGCAAAGGGATTTAGTATTTTTTCACAGAAATACCCAAAAAAATACTTTATATCAGTTTATAAGTTCTACAATTACTTCTACAATTAGAATCCATGCATCGATATCATAACTTAGAATATAAGATTCACAACTCAAAAGTCGGGCTGCGTCGGTCTGGTGGAGGCGCCGAGCTGTGACATTCTTCGGTGGTGCAGCAAGGGTCGGCAAGAGCAGGCGGAGACCTTCGTCCGAGCGGAAGGGTGCGCAGTCTGCACAGAGACGGATAGATTGATCACTGATGAGGGACATTTAAGTCATTTTATATGTTTTTATTATCTTCTCAACCTAATAGTCTTATTTTTGTCCCTGTTTCATTGTTCCTACTTGAATCTACTGGTTCCAATTTTCTCACGACTCAACTAAATAAATGATTTATCTGTGTGGGTGTTGTCCATGTTTCATTAAAGAGAACAAAGGCCTATAGAGGAGTGATTACGTTTGTTTTTGCTTTATTTAAAATATTATTAAAATTAATTTAAAATAGTGAAAAATAATTAAAATATTTTGCCTTAAAGGAATGACTGGTAAGCACTCCAAACTTGCATATGAAATTTAAATACCTTAAATTTTATATAAAAAATTATTTTAGCACCATGATCATGTATTATTTATGTCAAAAATGTTAATTTTTGGTATTTATTTCATAATTTAAAATATTTTAACATTCATGAGGATACAATTAACATTCTAAACTTCCATTGTAAAATAAATTGTACTACTCCCCCCCCCACCGACCCACTCTATATGTTTGTAACGTTTTTAACTTGCTAGATTAAATTATGCAATTAACGTCATATATTTAAAATTTTGAAATAAATAATACATAATCATGGTGTTAAAATAACTATTTATAAAAAGCTTGGGGTACATGAATTACATATGAAAGTTTAGAGTCTTTATCTCACACCCCTTCCAAGTTTGGGGTATTTTAATTATTTTTCCCTTTAAGATAATAGTAAGTAATATTTATAAGAATTAATTCTACTTTTCGTCCTACGAGTTTTGTGCCAATTCCACGTTTTTCACTTTGTCCACTTTTGGTACTTGACTAATGTTTTTTAACCGTTTGTGGTCCTTTTCCGGCGATTTTAAGCATCAGAAACAATGCTGGAAGGACCACATATGGGCGAAAAGCCAATAGTCACGTACGAAAAGTAGACAAAGTGAAAGATGTGGGCTAAATGTGGAATTGAACTAAAACTCGGTGGACCAATAGTGGAATTTATTCTTTTTATAAAAAGAAGTAATTTTAATTAAAAGATAAAAGTTGATCTGATCATATCTCATATCTTGTTGTATTTAGTTCAGTTTGAAGCGTTTTCTATCTCATTGCAAAGATCTTATCGAGTTCTAAAACTCGTCTTTAGGCATTGGTTTAAAAATATTACGTGAAGACTACCTAATGAACGAATTTCAAATCGCAGACTGTATTGACACTGAAAACGCTAAATCACATAGTTCATGCTTAGTATTTGCGACACTCATATCTTGTTGTATGTTCTTCAATTTCAAACATATTATATCTCGTTGGAAAGATCATTTTGAGTTCAAAATCTATTTGTTGGGAATATGTTACTGTGATCAATGTTTTTTTGTAATCTCTTTTGTATTTAATATAGTAGTAATTGACTAGCCTTATTAGGAAATATTGTAAAAAGTGCAATTGGGTCACCTCAATAAAGAAGCTCAATCATGCTTAGGTCACCCATCCTAGTACCATTGTCGCCCAAGCACGCTTAACTTCGGAGTTCTTATGGGATCCAGTGCATTAGTGCTGGTATGATCGCATCCATCATGTATGGCTCCTCTAAATGTATTTGTTCCTCACTTGTGCTGATGGGCTCGCGACTTATTTGCTCCAACCGCAAACCATAATCTTCCCCAAAGCGGATAAATAAGAAAAATGTAAGTCCATGTTTGATTTGGGGGGGGACATCGGTAAGGAAATGTCAAAACAGGGACCCCAGACAGCGGAATATTGCCGAAAAAGCGAAGGGGGCCATGGCGTAGCGATGGGTTGTGCTTAGAACGCCGAAATTGTGGGACAGCATTACCCCTCGCCCTTGTGAACAACTCCACCCGCGCGCATCATAAAAGTGCATGGCAACGACACGGTGAAAAAAATGGGGACGTGGGATGCAACACGAGGAGTTCCTCGGGGGTTGCCCATCCTAGTACTACTCTCACCCAATCACGCTTAACTTCAGAGTTCTCATGGGATCCGGTGCATTAGTGCTGGTATGATCGCATCCGTCATGTATGCTACTCTAAATGTATTTGTTCCTCACTTGTGCCGATGGGCTCGCGAGTTATTTGCTCCAACCGCAAACCATAATCTTCCCCAAAGCGGATAAATAAGAAAAACGTAAGTCCATGTTTGATTTTTGGGGGGCGTCGGTAAAGAAACGTCAAAACAGGGACCCAGACAGCGGAATATTGCCGAAAAAGCGAAGGGGGCCATGGCGTAGCGATGGGTTGTGCTTAGAACGCCGAAATTGTGGGACAGCATTACCCCTCGCCCTTGTGAACAACTCCACCCGCGCGCATCATAAAAGTGCATGGCAACGACACGGTGAAAAAAATGGGGACGTGGGATGCAACACGAGGAGTTCCTCGGGGGGTGCCCATCCTAGTACTACTCTCACCCAATCACGCTTAACTTCAGAGTTCTCATGGGATCCGGTGCATTAGTGCTGGTATGATCGCATCCGTCATGTATGCTACTCTAAATGTATTTGTTCCTCACTTGTGCCGATGGGCTCGCGAGTTATTTGCTCCAACCGCGAACCATAATCTTCCCCAGAGCGGATAAATAAGAAAAACGTTAGTCCGTTAGCAGTCAAAACGTTAAAACCTATGAAAAAAACGTCAATCCGTGTTTGATTGTAGGTTTCCGATCATTAGCAGTCATCTTTCCTATGAAAAAACGCTATAACCAGTAGGCCTCTTGTCACGCCCCGGACCTATCCGGACACGTCAACAATCCGCCGTACAGTATGAATAGTCGACCACAGTCCAACGCATCCATACTATACAAGGCGTCTGTAATATCATTCACAATAGTACATCCGTAAACAAACATAATGTAAAAATATTCATTCAAGGCAGCGGAAACATTTGGTACAAGTGTTCATGCCACACTTTGGCAAACATGGGCATACAAGCCCCTATTAAATATTCAATAGGAAAACATTATCCATGAGCATTAGTTAAAGTGTTTGGAAAATGGAATCTGAAGAGGCACGAACCACGTCTCCTCTTCTTGGATCCTACCCGAGCAACGGTGATGGCAGCAAGCTTTACTCCCTACCTGAAACTATGAGGTGGCCTCCCCCGTGAAGGGGAGGTCAGTACTTGGAAGCATTTGACAAGTACAATGACAACTGTACTAAGTATAATCAAAGTTTCAATTTCCAAGACCCTCAATCTAGGATGTTATTCATTTATAATTAACTCACGTTCCTTCATGCTAGAGCTCGGCTCATAGTCATGCTAAATTGTGCTAGAGCCCGGCTCATAGTCACACTACATTTGCTAGAGCTCGGCTCATAGTCATACTAATTTGTGCTAGAGCTCGGCTCATAGTCACACTACATTTGCTAGAGCTCGGCTCATGGTCATACTAATTTGTGCTAGAGCTCGGCTCATAGTCACACTACATTTGCTAGAGCTCGGCTCATAGTCATACCTACATTTTTGCTAGAGCTCAGCTCATAGTCATACTACTACGTGCTAGAGCTCGGCTCAATGTCACGTCATCTAGTCCTAAACAATTTCTTAGTCTAGGCTCCTTCCGCTTTGAGTAACCCTTAAGGCCTACTCCTAATGTAACTTGAGTCCATATAATCCACCTTAAAATATCCTTTAAGGTTACTTAGTTCCAATATCTTGGGATTAGCCCCCAAAGAACTGTTGAACTAACATTTCCAACTAGTATCTCTATACTAGTCATTTAATCTTGATATAACCAACGCATAGCTATAAAGTTCATATATTTCAATTTAATTTCTCATGCAAGTATTGTTTGGCTTTAATATCAAAATATCACCTTTATCCTTCCATGACTTCTTTTCATGTGGTAAAAGTATATTTATCACAATGAACATTCTTGGTTAACACCACCATCATGCCACTTTATTCATAACACATAATCATACACAATTTATTCATAAATTTGTATATTATGCATTTTCACTTATGACTAATATTAATTCCATTTAGGCACTTTTTATCATTTAAAAATCCATGCCAAACACATTTAATTCATTTAGGTAATCTCATGAAATTAACCCAATAATTATAAGCAATATAGTCGGTCATCCTCACCTCAATTGAGCTTTAAACTATCCCTTCTTGGTCCAATGGTCAAGACTTTGGTCAAGGTGGATTTGGAACTGATTCCTTGCTCAAATATGGGTGTTAAACAGCCTCTTCAAAGCGCTAGCTCAACCCCTAAACGTTGGTACGAAAACAGCCCCTAGAATGGGTGTTTTCCGGTGAACACGTTTCCTAGTTTTCCAAGATTTACTCTAGGTTAGTATCTAACCTTTACATCAATAAAATAACTTTACAAGGACATATTATACACTTGGATTAGTGTACAATAGTTCCACCAATCGTTCATATCATTTGGAAAATGAAAGGAAAGGTTTTGGGATTAACAACTCACTTTAGAAGAGTAGATCCGTTTCTGCGAGGTTGTGTTTTGCTCGGACGATTTGGAAGCCTTCCACTACTCCGATTGATGCAAAACAGACCTTCTCGGATTCCTCGTCTTGAGATCTTTCTTTTGGTATCTCACACGCCTTAATTGGATTGGTATAACTCGAGATATCCACCAAACAGTTTCAGCACTCTCAGAGCTCGAGTTTACAGACCACTGCTCGCTCCAGATCGATTTTTGGATGATTACTCTCTCCTCTAGAACAGAGACCACTCAATTATGAAAATAGACTTCAAAGTCTATCCAAGGACACCTTATACACGTTGTTTGGTCGAGTATAACTCCCATAATGAGTGGAGACAAACAGCACACCATTTTGTGCGAAAAATGGAGATGGTGTCCCAACATTTGATTCCTATCAAGTCTTATACAGCTCCTCTCCATGGTGGTCGGCAAAGGTAAGTCTTCTCACCCATTTTTATTTGTCTTGCAGGTACTAATATCATGTGGAGTGGTTCCCCATTGATCCCAATTATTTTAGGGTCCAAAATATCTATCAATACCTCCAAAAATGGGAAGATGGGTTCTATCGTTTTATCTTTTGTCAAAGATGTCTTTTTGTACTCATCCTAATTTATTTAGAACAAGTCAACTTCCTACATCACATTATTGATCTCCAATATGTGTAGGCTCATCTCAATAATTTACTTGATGGACATTATAGAAGGAAAGTCCTACTCCCATTATTTAGCTCAATAATGTCAAAGATGGGATCATAGGCATTTTTATTCATCTCAAATCATCCTATCACTTATTTTGACATTTGTCATTCATATTATTGGGCTACAAGCCGTGTGGGTCGCCCCCGAGTGGGCCTACGACGCCATTCTCGAATACTAGCTATTCTAGCGGGTTGAGCCCAAAATAATATCTGGGCCGCCCGCCCTTCCTCAACTTGTCTTGAAACGTTATGTATTACTATTTAGATAATGTTAGGCTCTTTTATTTATTAATAAGGCCCGATACTTATATACGAGTTCGAACAGTACAATAATTGATCATTAATTACGTAAAACATTAATCGTTTTACAATCGTTTGGGAATCAGAAATCCAATACATAAACTTTGAATTTTAAAATCAAATTTTCAAGGACGTTCGGGTGCGGTGTCACACCTCTCATAATTCCTTTGTTTAAAAAATTACTATAGAGTCTACTTGATTCATAAATTAGTTAGCAATGAATATTATAATATATTAATAGTTAAAATAAAAAACCAAGTTTGGTTAAAATGCAGAGTTAAGAAAAATAAAATTCAAACAAATTAAGTTAAGTTATTCACTTCTGCTATCTATTCACTCTTGCCATTGAGAGTGGATGAATGAATACTTGGAAGAGAAAATTCTCTTGTTCTTAAAATCAAGGAATCAACGGCAACAAGAAGTTAATACCTGCAAGAAGTAGCAAAGGGCTTTAGTCTTTTTTCACAGAAATACCCAAGAAAATACTTCATATCAGTTTATAAGTTCTACAATTAGACGAATCCATGCATTGATATCATAACTTCGAATTTAAGATTCATAGATCAAAAGTCAGGCTGCGTCGGGCTGGAAGAGGTGCCGAGGTGTGGCTATCTTCGGTGGTGCAGCAAGGATCGGCAAGAGCAGGTGGAGACCTTCGTTCGAGCGGAAGGGTGCGCAGCACAGAGACAGATAATTTGATGACTAGATGTGGGGGACGTACATTTAAGCCATTTTATATCTTTATATCCTCCCAACCTTATAGTCTTATTTTTGTCCGTGTTCATGAACGACAAAATGATTTTGTAACTGCATCTTGACCACATCAGCTGATGTTTAGTGACATGGAAATTGCGACTAGACATGGTTATACTGTAACACCCCGGTCCTGCAGGACCCGAAGTAGTTACTCCAGACCTCTAGTACTGTCCTCACAAACCGCCACTAGCCTTTTAGGCGCACTTTGTCCTTACTCGTGCGCGCCCTGAGAAACTTCCCAGGGGGTCACCCATCCCAAGACTACTCCCGTGCAAGCACGCTTAACTTTGGAGTTCTTGGCTAATGAGCTCCCTTAAAAGGAGATGCATCTTGTTGGTATGAGTAGTACTATTAATCCATTTATATTAAATCTCAAGTGTTACAATCACCCCCACTTAGGATCGCAACGTCCTCGTTGCGCCCTTAAACCAATCTCAATCAAATCCCAGAATCTTTTCCCCTGCTAGGTGTCTGCCCGATATCCAACGGATCAACACACTGTCGCAGGGTTGCTCTGATACCACCTGTAACACCCCGGCCCTGTGGGACCCGAAGTAGTTACTCCAGACCTCTAGTACTGTCCTCACAAACCGCCACTAGCCTTTTAGGCGCACTTTGTCCTTACTCGTGCGCGCCCTGAGAAACTTCCCAGGGGGTCACCCATCCCAAGACTACTCCCGTGCAAGCACGCTTAACTTTGGAGTTCTTGGCTAATGAGCTCCCTTAAAAGGAGATGCATCTTGTTGGTATGAGTAGTACTATTAATCCATTTATATTAAATCTCAAGTGTTACATATACTAAGGGACTTGTTCCTAAATGGGACTAATTAGCTTCATAAATTCCAAAATGGGACCGACCCGGATGTCAATTTTCGCTAAGACTAAAAATCTCTGAATTGAAAATTATACCCTCAACCAATACGCTTCGTTGCACGATTTCCCGTACCTGAATGAGTGTGCGTGCCTCTCTCATCCTCAGGCAATTACTTCAAATCTCTCCGACTTTTAAAGCAACGCATACTCCCAACTTCCGCAGCAATTGTACTCGAAGAAAATCGAAGAGATTGGCGCTGGAATAGAGAAGTAAGAACTGACGGCGTTGAAATTGGCACCATTACTGTCGTCAACAATGGACGATACGAACTCGACGAGTACAGAACGAAGAAAGGCCATGACCACGAAGCTTGTATGTATTTCTGGTTTACATTTACGAAAAGTAGGTTAAAATGTGTGATAAAACGTCTAATAATGTAAGTTTTAAGCCTAATTTCTAGATACTACAATGCGTTTTATTTGCATGTTTATTATTATGCACAGAAGAAGTGTGATAGAGTTTTTTTTACTTGAGAACAAGTGCGATAGAGTTTATTAACTTTGATGTGTATTATTTTACTTATTAATGATTAAGTAATGATTAAATTCCTTTATAGTACGTACGAGTGAAGAGAGTTCACATGTTTCCAAATTTCATGAGTTGTTCGTAGAATTTATTTCCATCATGCTCTGTTTTTAAAATATTGACGATTTCCTAGTGTTGTTTAGGAATTTATCAATGTACTGTCATTTAATTGACTTGCAATTAAATGTACAACATCATATTGTTGTTAATATTAATTAATTATGGAAATCTACTATTCATAAGCAATAAGGAGATCCTGTGAAAAGGACATCTTGTCAAAGATGAAGAAATTAAGGGTAAACTACTATTGTAATCTGCTAGAAGTGGTTAAGGCGATCAAAATGTACTTGAATGCAGAAGAAATTATTGAGTTTAGGGGAACTATTTTTGGATGGATACTAGATATGGAGTCTATATCTTGGGTAAGTGGCCAGTTGTTGTTGGGGCTAATTGGGAACCATTGTAAGGAATAAATGTAATTAGATTTTGATGATGCTATAGGATTAGAAAGTTAGATTACCCCCAAATTAGATTTTATGTATTAGACTTTTCAATTGTAAGTATTAGTGTAGTCGACGATCAGAGTTGCTCAGTTTTGGATCAGATCAGAAGTGCATCAGAACTGCTCGACCAGACTTGCTCTATGAGAACTGCACCATCAGAATTCTCTTACCAGAAGCTCATCAGAGTTGCACCATGAGAGTTGCTGATAAACTTGGACACCTGATAGCCGATGAGAACTACAGATCAGAAGTACTCATCAGCGGATCTATCAGAGTCAGAGTTGGAGTTCAGTCAGAGATCAGAAGTCCATCAGAACTCAACTCATCAGAAAGCCATCAGAATCCAATACATCAGAAGAGCCTGATCAGAGCCCGACTAACACTTAGAAGATTTCAAGCAACATCCAACAGCTATGAATTCAACGGGTAAAAACATCCAACGGCTAGAAGACTGTGCATGAAAGGAAAGCATTTAATGCACATTAAATGAGCCTGATACGCTGAAGGATTGATTGCAAATGATTGACCAAGGAATCCAGGAAGATATATTATAAAAATAGAAACCTTCCAAAACGGCGGTCAAGTCAACTGTACGCGCATTCAATGCAGTTGTCTCCTCCTCCAACGGGCAGACAACCTCAGTATATAAGCTACTCACCGAAGAACAGAAAAACAACTTTTGCTACAACTTTTGGTCATCATAATTCAAGCTCTCTTGAGACTCAAATTCTACAATCCTCAACAAGACAAGCTTACGTTGGGAAGATTCAAACTCCAAATCTTTCATCCCCAACAACGAGCAAAGTTCATCCTGTTCTTCAACTCTTCAAGAACTTCATCAAACATCATTTGTGACGAAGCAAGTTGGAGGAAAAACTCTGTTTTTCAAAGGATCTTCTGAAAAGAAGGGCGTCCAAGTAACTGCAGTAGTGAAGTGGTGATACTTCCGGGAAGCTGAGTGAAAGGACCAGCCATCAGGACGTGGAATTACATCCTGGGTGGCATCTAGACTTGAAGAAGACGAGGAGTGCTTCTTAAGTGCTAGGATTTAGCTTTGTAATCGATCTACTTCAAAGCTAGTGGAACAGTGGACTAGAGGAACGCGTTGTTCCTTGAACCACTATAAAAATATCCGGTGTCATTTACTTTACTGCAATTTACATTTCTGCACTTAGGATATTAACTGGTAACTCTAAGACTTGGAATCTGTGTTCAGCAGATCTTGTTTTCAGAGTTATCAGAAAGGCATTTGCTTTAGTGTTTCTGAGGCTACCCGGACAGATCAGAATCCGCTGCCAAGGCCAGTTCTGATATCAGAACCAGCCTTTCTCTGTCACCAGAATCAGACATTCTCTGATAAGTCATTTTGGACTTAGAGAAAGTTTGAAAAACCAATCAGTCTATTCACCCCCCCCTCTAGACTGATTACCATATTAAACGGGACCAACAAGTGGTATCAGAGCCTCCTTGTTCTTGTAATCTTTTAGGTTACTCTCTGAACAAAGATCCACTTGTTCTTAGCCTCTATTTATTTGTTATTATGGATAACTCTCTTGCAAAGCACCTCATGTTTTCAGATCAGAAGTATGATGACTGGAAGATCAGAATGAAAGCACACCTCTGCGCTCTTCATGATGAAATGTGGGAAGTCCTTGAAGAAGGACCTTTCACCAAATTTATGAAGGTGAATACTGAGCAT